GACAATTGTTTTATCAACAATTGTCTACTTGATCGTCAAATACTTGATGTGAACAGTCACATAAAATATAATTCAAACTGTGATATTTTAGCTTTGCTGTGTTGTATTTTTGACTACAGCATAAAATATAATATTTACTAATTTATCTAATGCAGCGCAATTAGAGGGGGGGGGCATTTGGGTAAGGGCTGCTTGCTGGTTACAAGTTATTTTTTTGTTGCAAATTTTGTTTTTATGCTCGTGTTAGAATGTATTGTAAAACGTTATTGATATGTTAACTGTGAATGTATTGTGTGCAGGCACGTGGTGAAATGAGATAAGGCGATAGTGTGTCAACACACACGTTAATCGTAAGAAAGAGACATATAGTGAATGTATTGAGGTTTCCTAAACCAGAAATGTTTTATAATTATAGCTTATTACAAGGAGTTTTTGTAAATTAATTTGTTGTGTAAATTGTACTCCAATATTGTATTATTGTTTTTTTTTAACAAAACCAAGCTTTTTTTCACAGCGACTATAATAATGTAAACAAATGGTAGGTTCTCCATATGTATCACATTCAAAGATTCAAATTCTATGAATCTTTGAATTTTATAATAACAATTTGTATAGTTTTTTCAACTTAATTTTTTATCGAAAACGAGTTGTTTTTCTTAACATATTTTGATTTGCAGTTGCTTTTGTATATAAATGTTTGACCTATTTTATCTGTTGTTGTTTTTTTTTCCACAAACGCTTGCAGTGCTTTTTATAAGATTATAAATAATACATTATTTTTCTACATTTTAAATGGTTTTAAATTGCATGGTTATTTGTCAACATGAAAACATGTTGTTTTAATGAAAATAATTCACAACACCTCTAAGAACCATAAACTGCAAATTTTTAACGACTAGGAACTTAATTTACATAATTTTGACTCTAAAAAAGAAAAAAGTAGGTAGGAGGAAAGGTGGAGTCCTCCCGCCCAAAACTTGAAATTTCAGTACTTTAAAAATAACTAAAACTGGTTTTGGTATTCTTAATTAAAATATTTAATGAAATGTATGTGTTATGATTTAAGTTTTAATAGTTGCCATCCAAAAAACTAAGTTGAGAGGGGGTAAAAACAAAAAAAGGCTTTTTTTTATAATATAAGTAAGAGCTGTCATATTTAAACTGTGTATAATTTAAAATCACTGTTTGAGCAAAAATATATTAACCAAACCAATGATGATGATAATTTGTATTTTTTTTTTACTATTTCAAGTCGCCTAAAAAAATATGTTATTTGGGACTATTATTTATAATATAATGTAATAAAATAATTAATTTTAAAATCCGTTTATAATTATTGTAAAATACTTCTAACAAATTAATATTTTATAGTTATAGCTTATTACAAGGAGTTTTTGTAAATTCATTTGTTGTGTAAATTGTTCTCCAATATTGTAGTTTTGTTTTTTTATTTTTATCAAAACCAAGCTGTTTTTCACAGCAACTGTTGTAATGTAAACAAATAGTAGGTGCTCCATATGTATCACAAACAAATATTCATATTCTATGAATCTTTGAATTTTACAATAACAATTTGTATAGTTCTTTTAACTTATTTTTTTATCGAAAACGAGTTTTTTTTCTTAACATATTTTGATTTGCAGTTGCTTTTGTGTATAAATGTTTGACCTATTTTATCTAACCACACATCCCCTCCCATCTTAACTTTAAAACTCTAATAACTTTAAAAATAGCTTTCCAAAATAGGGTTACGGACCAGTCAACATTATTAGTACATTATTCTCAATTCAAAAAGTTAATGAATTTTATGTGTCACCGTTTATGTATCAAAAAAACAAGTTTGGAAGGGGAGTAAAAACAAAATTAGAAGCGTTTGAGCTCATATTGTATAAACAAATTATGGAAAAAAAATAAATTATTAATTAAACAAAGTGAGATATTGAGTGGTACACAATAAGTTGGTCATCCTGTATTAAAGCTATTTTAAAATAAATGTAATGTCAACGATTTTGACCAATAATAAAAAAATAACAATACATATTTTGTAAAATATGAGTTTTTAAAATGTTAACTTAAAAGATTGTATGAAGTAACACACATAGGTATTTGTCATTTGTTTACATTACTACAATAATTTCAGTAATATGGTTTAAAAAAAACTTAAATTCGTAATAGAACTATAATAATATTGAAACTTTATGATAGTTAAATGTACTTCTCATTTGTTTACATTGTAACAGTTGTTGTGAAATAATGGTGTTGGATTATACGCATGTATAACTTGGTGGAAGTTAGTATTTAAGTAGAAATAAAAACACAACAATAATATGATTGAACCTAATACTATTAAACATAAAAACACACAGTATATATACAGAGAATAGTATATACAACGTTCGTTGCAGTTATAACAGCATCCGTAGTAGTACCAGACACCTTAATACTATGGCTTGTGTATAATAAAATCTAGGTCACAAATGAAAATGGTCCTTGTATCAAACAAATTTTATATATTACATAATGATTTCTATAATGTTCGCATATACTATTATATATAAAGAGAAACCGTTGCTTGACGTTTTGCTTGCCATGAAATTGTAGATGACCCCAACATGAATAAATGTGCCTAAGTTGATCTCCTTGTTTCTAAATCTCCGGCATAATCAGAATCTGTGAATATTCTTAAATCTAAATTATTATCAGATTTATAAACCAATCCGTAATAAATTGTATGTTTTACGTAACGCATAATGCTTTTGACCATTGATCAATGAGCATTAGTTGGTTTTGCAAAAAATCGTGACATAAAATTGACTGCAAATGCCAAATCTGGTTTTGTTAATTGTGACAGGAATAAACTTCCCACAGCTTCGCGATACGGTACTTGACCTTCTTCTAGTACTGTTGAATCCGTGTGAGCATCCAATATCGTTGACTTATCAATGGGTATTGAAATTTCCTTTGCATTTAACATATTAATACGTTTAATAACAATTCTAGAATAATTAGTTTGATTAATAAATAATAATCCATCATCTAACATCTTATCCCCATTCCTTGAAAATAATCCATGGTACCAGTTTCACTTATTTTTCAAACTTAGAGAATAATTACAGGTATTATTGTTTAACTGGCTGACGCAATGACACCATCATCAACAAAAATAGCCAAAAATCAATGTTTTATTATTATCATGATTAGTGAAAACCCACGAATCATATTTACTTTGAATTAAATTGAATTGTAATAGGACATTTTTAAACCATGAACTCCAACATCGTCGAGATTGTTTTAATCCATACAACGATTTACGTAATCTGCAAACCCAACCTGAATTGTCATCATATCCGATCGGTTGTTCCATATATAGTTCGTCTTTTAACATACCATAAGAAATTTTGTACCAGTGTCAAATTGGTATAATTCCAATTTCTGAGACGCATTTATGGCCAAAATTGTTCTGATAGATTCAAATATGGCTACAGGTGAGAATGTCTTGTTATTATTTATTCCGTTTCTCTGTCGAGAACCTTATACAGCTAATCGTGCCTTAAATCTAACAATATGCCCGTTAACATTGTACTTGATTTTGTAAACCCAGGAACTATTTAACACTAGCTTTCCTACTGGAGTTGGCACTAACGTCCAGGTGTCATTAGTTTGCAATGAAATTATTTCGTCGTCCATGGCTTGAATACAATTATTTTTGTACTCACAGCTTCATTTTAGTTTATTGGTACGAATGTGCAAGCAGTGACAAAATGGATTTATTTGAAAAAAAATATAAGGGCTTAAACGTACTAAGATTAAATAATGGTGAGCAATTTCGACAGATGGGATGAATAGAGGAGGAGAAGTGGTCTAGACAAAGAAAATAAACAGCCTGTATATTAAGCCAATACATATTATGATTAAAAGTAATAATAGTATTATTTATAATAGCGAACAAAGACTTCTTAGTACATAGTACAGTAAATTATTTGACAGTTTTTATATAAGTGTGGCATCCAAAAACATTTAAAAATATGAACAGAAAAAATGTATAATTTATTAAAATAAACGTGGGAGAATAAAAATTATTTAATTTAAACAAGGGATTATGCTTCCCCCTGTCAAATCGTGGTTTTCGTTGTTTACAAAACATAAATCGTCCTCATAGAATGCGCATGAGATTTTTATGAGCTCTTTATGACGTATAACACAAACTTCGCCTACAACATCAGCATTTGTTGTGTATTCATCTGGAAATCTCATACTCCAGAACAATCCTACGATTCGACATGTGTGTGTAAAATCTATAGGGTTGGTCCTATGTTCTGAAAAAAAAGTTTACAAAAGTTAGCCAAACTAAAATTAAGCCTAATTTTATGTCCCCACCCAAGAGAAAATGTATATTCAGACACAAAATGTAAATTTTACAGGAGAAAGAAAAATAAAATTACTTATTAATAAATTAATAATTATTAACTTTTCTTCCTAAACCTATCAACCTACTCTTACACTAAAATCTTCCATTTCTCCACACACAGTCTTCACTCTTGTACTTGCCCCTACATAAATTTCATCTATTACTTTCACTTACACTATTTGCACTCATTTTTTCTTAAACGGCCACCCCTAAACCTCTAATTAATAAATAACTAAGTAATTAGTTAGAATAAATGAACTAAGAAGGACCCATCTAAGAGTCCAAACGTCATAAAAGGTATATATATAACGGTGAATAGAGCGTGCAATTTAAATCTAAGTGAACCGAAAAACTTGAAAATTGTAATTTTTTATTTAATAATTTTTTGTTCGGATATAAACCTTATAAAAACTGTAACGATGAAATAATAATTAAAAAACTTGTTTAACTAAGTTTATAGATTTTTGAACTAGGAAAATAGTTGGACGATTTATTTATGTAGTTTTTTTAACTATAAATGTGTAATGTTTGTTGGTCCGAATATGCATTTTTTCCGTGTAACTACTAGTTTTTTTAATAGTTTATTATTTACTGTCTCTTATATCGGTTATAAACGATTTTAAAGCTAGTTTCATCATTCCTCTTCGAACAGCTCCAAGATCATTCGCAGTTGCTCTACGACTACCAGCTGAAAAATTCAATCAATTTGTTAAAGAAAGTAAAAATAATGTTGTAAAGGGTTTTTCCAATGGCAATTTTGTAACCTCAGTTAACACAGCAAAATTTCAAAATTAAAAACTACATTATTCGAAAAACACACATTTAACAAACAAACAAATCGTTAAAATATGTTTTTATTGGAGTTTTAAGTTCACATTGTGTCTATTTAAAAAAATAGTTATTCGAAAATCTATTATTTTTTAACCAAATAATAATTTATTCGACTTGTATGTTACTTTAAAAAATCAATTGTTTAATGACAAATTCTATATATTAATCTAGCTAGTAACAGTGATCAAAGTAAAGATAAAGTAAAAAACTTTAAGCAACAGTAGGGTAATTAATTTGAAACCCTTTTTGTGATATTTTTTTATAGTAAGGTGATGTGGGGTAACTAAAATTACTGGCATAATTTTTCACCGACAATTAAAATGCTAATTGTTTTAAATATTACATACAAATATCGACTAGTGAATACTAGCTGATACTATTTTTTTATTAAAATAACTAAAAATAATTAATTTTGTTTGTTTAATATTTGTATGGTAGATATAAATGGGTATATCGGGATTTGAAGTCAAAACGTGTAACGTTATAAGTTTAAAAGTTTAATGAAAGTATCATTTTTTTGCGTTCAGTTGGAGGTAAAGGTTTTTGAACGTTAAAATATATAGCGTTTAAATGAACGTATAGTTGTTGACCAAATATTTGTATTATGTTATGTTTAGTTAAATATAAACTTGTAAATTGAATTTTTAATTTTCACAGTTTATTACAATTACGTTACGAAAACTGGATTGACTTAACATAAATAACCGATTGATCATCTAGATTTTAAGCGCTATTTACGACTGCCGAATAAAGTGTAATTACCTTGGAATATAACCTCATTGGGAATAAGGCCTGTAACAAAAACATCAAAATATGCAATAAATTATTGTACGATTATTGAAAATAAGTATTTTATTAGATTTACGTATAATAGTAAATTTAAAACTGAGATTACTTAGGCCAATTAATTAGCTTAATCGTTTATTTATGAAAGATGATTCGTCACAATTTTGTTGAAAATTACAAGTACCATAGATATGATATTGGGCTGTAGGTCATTCCAAAATTTGGGTGCAAAAATCGTGTGACGATTTCACGGCACCAACTTGATTATAGAGATTTTGTTATTGAATATTAATAATGAGTACCAGGGTACTATAAAACACACGTTTTCATTGTCGCCGCCACCACAAGTGTGCTTTGACTTCAGCTACTGAATACGTGCCATACCGACAATTATCAAAAACGCACTCTGCCGCCTCCAGCTACAGTATCAGGGACCCATATGCTAAGTTTCATCACACTTATAGGCGGCTAAGACTCGTACAAAAATCCGATACAAAAGGGCCAAATTCGTTCTATTAAAATTCATACTATTAGTTGAACAATAAATTGAAAAATCGGTATTCACAAATTAAAATAAGTATAGCGCATAAGAATCAAACATATTTTTTATATTTTTTTAAAGTAAAAGTGAATGTGAATCACAGTTATTTTTAATTACCTGAAATTTTAACTATCATTTTTGTAAAGTGTTTGAGAAAACATGTTGAATTTTATAATTACCAAATTCTCTGTTTAATTCTAGTTGCAGTTCTTCCTCCAATGCCTTCTCTATAATTTAAACCATAAATTGTTTATATATGTCTACTATTGTTATGGCAAAATTAATATGCATAAGATTTTTCTCATAATTAAAAAACTAATGTAAAAGCCATTTGTAATGTATAATGTATTATGAATATGAAATATGAATTACGGTATTCCAAGTCCTCATCAATACTTCGTTCTGAAATTAAAACGAAAACATTTTGTACTGGTATAGTACAACCAACTATTTGGAAATATTTTCAATTATTACCAGGTAGTGCAAACATAAAAGTCATTTTCTCTGAAATTATGATTACAAAAAAATTATTTTTAAACGATATTAGACTTAATTTCATGTTCCAATATAAATTTAAATAAAGAAGTCAAGGTATAAAATACACGTTTAATAATAATAAGGAAGTTAAATTTACAAATAAATATTGAGTGATTTAAATTTAGTATTTAGATCACTTTTAAATTTGCATTGATCAATTTTTGCAATTTTTTGTATCACTTCTAAAACACTTCTTCTACTAGCAAACCTAATCGGTTTAGTTTTAAAATAATAATTACTCATTATTTCTTCATCTAGACGAACAACAAAATGTATTATTTTGTTCCTAATGGTTCCTGAAATAAATAAATATTTGATTAAGTTAAAAAAAATCAAATGATATTTAAATGCGACAAATTATGTACAAAAATGTTCTGAATAGTAATACATTTTGAGTTAAACGTGGCTCATTTAACTAGTGATAAACCGTCTTTGAATTTGATAACACAATTATTATTATATAATATTTATTCTAGATCATAAATAATATTGTAGAAACTAAATTATAATGAAATCATATTATTCGTGTGGGACACTCTTTTGAGAAATATTCTCAATACAATTCACATTATTTGAGCTTATTATACCTCGACTTCACCAGTATTGATAATTCCTGGTGTACTCCGGTAAAAACCATTTTTTTAAAAATACAATACACAAAGGCTATTTTGAAAACATTTTTTCATAAAGATTATAGTTCATAAAAATACATCACCTGATAGTCAGGCAAATGGAAAGTATAACAAAACCATTAAAATTATTGTATTAATCATTTTTAGTATGTCTTACTTTCTAAAATATGTTTGTCAATGAGTACGTCTGTAACAAATTATGTATAAAAACTGTAAGTCTTAAAACTTAAAAATGTATTTTGTAATAAAAAAATGTACTTACTTGTAAACTTAAGTCTGTTTCTATCTCCTTTATTTGCTGTAAAAAAATTGAATATTGAAGTTTTTTAGTAATTTTAAACCTAAGCCAAGTACCTTTAGTAAGTTTGTCAGGAGTTCTTCGAGTAGGTCTTCTTGGAGTATATGTTTGACTAGAACTTGCCAAAACATTTAAAAATGGACAGAGCAGTAAAACAAAGAAAACATTCATTTTCGACTATAAATTATAGTGCAAATTAAAACATGTTATATTAGACGGAGATATACTTACAATAAAATCTAAACATTTATTGCAGAATTCTCTATGTACATATTTTAACTCCAAGTGGGAATATTTCTATTGCATTATGTTTACTTATTTACATTGCTTTGAAATGTTGTTTAAGCTTCTGTTGTTTTTCACATTCAGGTAAAAAATCATGGTTTTTTTATATTGATGACAAGATCAATTAACCATAAGTTTCCAATACAGAAAATATTAAAAAAACAGTTATTGACAAATTTATACTATTTTTTACAATACTATTTTCAACAATAATTATAACAATTAATAAGTACCTTTAATAGTACTAAAAAGTAAATAATAAAATAAATAAAAAACTTTTATTAAAACATGCTTTTCTAAAAAATAGTAAAAAGGTGAACTAAAATTTAAAAAAATAATTTTATTATAAGGCCAATTTACCAATCAATTGGTTCACATTTTTTGAAAAATGTCAGTTCCTTTGAAAGCAGCGGAAAAATAATTACAATTTTAAATAATGTTAAACATCTTTGTATTTTGACTAAAAAGATAAGCGTGGGCCCTATTCATCAAAGTCCAAATTCATTAAGTAATGTAAAATGTATGTGTCACACACTTATATTAAACCAAATTTAAATTACAAAAAAACTTAGAATATTTAACATTAACATTTTAAATGACAACATTATTAGGGACTATGTTGAATAGGGTACCCACTTTTCTTTTTAGTCAAAAGTTAAAAAAATTTCACATTATTTAAATTGTAGTTAATTGTCGGTTGTTAAAAAGTAACTGACATTTTATAAAATGCGCTACACCTGGTTGGTAAATTGTTCTTGTAGTAAAATTATTTTAGCTTTGATGCAAAGCGAGAAGGTATTGGTTTTACTCTGATCTGTGTTTTTTTTTATCTGTATACAATGTAACTTTTTTAATACTGGACCAATTCCTTCGAGTAGCAACTCTACAAATCGCAAATTTCATCTAGTTGGTACTTTGGGGGGGGGGGGGGGGGGGGTAAAAGTTGAAAAAGTTTAATTCTTCACAGACGAAAGTTGAAAAAACAAAAAAAAAAACCGTACGAGTTTTTAAGTTAGAACTTTTACTGGCTATAATTTCCAGAAAAGTGTCGGATCGAGTTGAAATGTTTAAGAAATAATTATTTGGTATGCCCGCGTCAGTTGTGTCAAATTTAAACTAAACCCATTTCATACCCCCCTAGGGGGGGGTACAAGTTTTTTTGTTTTTCGGGGTTTTTAGCGGTAATTTTAAAACTTTTGGGTTGAAAATCTGCTAGTAGTTGGAACTCATATGTACCCATAACATATTAAACGGGAAAAAAATTCGGCACTACAGTTTTTTTTTAATTGCCGGGAAACTGTGTTTTCGCAGATTTCGTATATTTTAACAAAAACACCAAAAATCTTTAAAAAAAATTGATTAAATCATTAAAACAATTTGATGTTATCTATGCAGAGTGATAAGGGAAAAAAACCTATCCGTGTACTTATTAAGATACTTAATGATTCTGATACGACAAAATCACTGTCGTTATCTCGTTATTTTATAGCCTGCGTTATATAATCTTACCGAAGGTCAACTATGAGTATATAAGGTCCAACTGCCTGCAAATTATGAAGAGGACTGTTGTTTTTTGGGTTCAGATTAAGTGTTGGTTTTTATGCAGTATACCGCCTCAAAATGTATTTTTTATTATACAATTTTTTTAAAGGAAAACTAATGTTTTGCATATTGTTATACTGTTATTCATTTAAAGAGATTCACGCTTGATTGTTTAAATTGTCTAATATTAGATAATCGGCTTTGTGCTAATTTTAAATTTTTAGTTTATCAACTTGTAGCTCTAATTTTGTATAAAATATTTCATTATTTTATTACTATGTACAGATGAAGATAAATTTTAATAATAATTAAGTCATAAATGAAAATACTTTATTTTATGACTAGATCAAATCTCGTGAACATTTAACATCATGATACTGCTCCTATGCTATTATTAAAAAAACACAATTTTTAAAATCTCCATAAAAGGTTATTGTTGAATAACAGGCAACAGCCGACCGCTAGTGGCTATACACGTTAGTAATATTTAACTAATAAGTAATATATGTAGGTAAAATTTATTGTTTTCTCCATCACAGTACCAGTATACGATTTATTTTAATTTAAATGTAAGAAAATCCATTTTTCTTTAGAAAATAACAAGAAATTAATATACAGGATGAGGCAGTAAAACGGCGATTTTCTAATGTATTTAAATTGTAAAACCCGTTTCACTATCCCACCCTTTACATTTTAAGGATCTATGAAAAAGTTTTTTTAGTTGCATTTTATTTTGTACATTGTCAATCTAGTAAAATAGAAGTATAATATAGCTTTGAAATAATATAATCTATAAAGTATAAATAGTTTGTGTGAGATTGCTCTAACGAAAGTATATAATACATAAATATTAATTTTATTGAGAATAAGCGATTATAATTTAAACTATGGAGTACAAACGATTGAAACATGAATCGTCGACCATTCCAACAAAATATAACAAGACATTGTATATGTGTTATTTGGTCCACTAAGTTTTTGCAAAAAATATTCAATTTTATCACTTTTATTTATAATAATTCTTGTAGACCTGTGACCTCTCCGTTTCCTCGTGGCTTTGATTACATTATGCCAATACTCTACTGTACTAGTCCTCTCGGATAAAATCACTTTCATATTAACGCTTTGATGCTCATTTGTAAATACAGAACCTCAATTTAAAACTTTTTAACTTTGCTGGTTTATACTGTGCTTGGTTTGGACTGTACTGGCTTAAAAATACTTACTACCGATTTGCATCGAAGCGTTTTTTCGAAAGTGATTTTATCACTTTCAGATCTAAAAATTCCTGTAAACCTGTGACCTCCCCGTCCCCAATATGCCCCGACCCAACTATGCTCCGTCCCCACTATGCACCGACCCCACTGTACTGGTTTTTTTACTTATAAGTTCACTTTGTTACTATTTCTTAGAAAAGCATGTTTTTAAAAAAACTTTTTAAATTGAGAATAATGTACTAATAATTTTGAATAGTCGACAACAAGTTTTGGATATCTATTTTTGAAGTACTTAAATAATAATAATAATAATATGAGTACCATACAATTTCTGGTGGTATTTTTCAGTTAGTGCACAATAGTTGTTTAAAAAATACATGTTTTTTTGTGTTTAATATGTAAACCTCATATTAGAGTTTCTACTTCTGGTGGAGGAGCTAAAATATCATCATAAATGTATAATAAAATGGTACACAACTAAAGTGCTGAATGTCCTACACCACAATACTAAAAAATAATTCATACCAATTCAAAACACAATAAAATATCATAAAGTTATACATCACTTGTATTAGACCAGCAACAAAAAGTATTAAAAAATATTATATTATGTGTGGTATGGATGAAAACATTTCACATAAACAAAGCAGCAAGAAGCTATAATTTTTTTTTTTTTCATTTTTAAATAACGACTACGTTAACAATTGCCATCAAAGTGTTTAAATCGTTACTAGCGTTTATTTGAAAGTGGTTTTACAACTCATGTCAAAAATAATTCCTGTATAACAGTGACCTTCCCGTCCCTATTGCTTTGATCCCATTATGCCTCGATTCCACTGTACTGGCTTACTAGGATAAAATTACTTTCAAATAAACGATTTGATACGGTCTATGCTATGCGTAGTTATAACCAGAGTTTTGCATAATTCTATTAAAAGATATCTAAAAAATTATCTTAATAACAAATTATTCAAAGTTCATGTTTAAAAATTTATTAAAATAATTTTAAAAATATCATTTACATAGAGTGTAAGTGTTTTTAAAATGATTGTTTCGTAACATTTTTCATTTAGAAAATATATAAAGCCAGTAAGTATAAAAAAACAATTTAGTATAATACTTACTTTTATAGTTGCAATGATACTCGTAGTTATACTGACTGCTTCAATGGTTTTTTTACGACTGATCAAATGGCTTACATATTGCCGACCGAAACAACAATAACTAGTCGTATTGTGCAGAATTGTTTATGCGAATTTGTTAACATAAGCAACGTTATTCATTTTTTGTTATAAACAACATATTTACATAATTCTGAATCGTATCCCCAAGTATAGTACAATATTATATTTGTGTACTAGATACTAAACCTTACAAAACAATTTATGAGTACGATTACCCAAAACGCAATATTAAAATTACCAGACTCGACTACTTGTTACCCAAGAGAAAAAAATAGAATCAAATTTATATGGGGATAATACATTTTTTTTAACTAGTTAGGAAAACCAATTTAATTTTAATTAGATTAATTACATTGTGTCCACTCAGATACGTACATTACAATAATTGGGTATGATTAATGTTTGCTAACTTGAGCCAGTCTATTTTTTAATTTTAATATCCAGCTGACCAAGTGAATTTATCACTTGTATTACAGAATATACACATTTAATGTGTGAAAATTAAAAGTAAATAAACTATTTAAACATTTTTCTTTGTAGAAAAATATTATACATTTATGTCAAAACCCGATCTCTACGGGTTATCATCTTTATTCCCGTAAATTGTTGTAAACATTTTAATCAGATTAGCATATTTGCACCGAGAATCATGAATGGTTTAAAATCACTTATCTATACTTAAATACTCTACAATATACTTATATTGCAAAATCAGATTTTTTTATATTGATGAATTTGTTTTGTAGTTTTCTGATTTTGCATTCATTTTAATGATTAACGAAGGATCATTTTAATTCATAACAAAATGTTTTATTTACAATAATAAAAACTTTAATATCTAAAAAATATAGGACAATACAAACAAACACAACCATACATTTTATTAGAAAAAAGTAGATACTGAAGTCTGCCCGTTACTACAGAAAAATTATAAAATAGTGAACTGTTACAAAAATTAGGAAAGCGCAGTTTAAATCTCTTAACAAAATAAATTGGGTTATATTAAAATTTATAAATTTGAATAGCAAAAGAATGTACACAATAAATTAAATGAATTTCTTATGCAAACATTTGAAAAAAGAGGAATTGAATTCCTTATGTCTTGATTTATATGTAAACATCTTTTTTATTTATAATTTGAGCAATTACAAAACAAGTTAATACAATATTTCTTTTGAAACATAGTACGAATTTTGTTTATTAAAATAAAGAAGAATATCACTTTTTCATATAATTAGGTAAAAATGGATATTTCATTAAAAATACTAAAAAGAAATAAATTAAATTAAATAATATGGCACTTTTTTAGCTTTTGGAAAAATATTGTATTAGTTGTTTAGATTAAAGAATAGTTTAAAAATACAATTATTACTGGTATTCAAATGATACTTGTATATATTAGCTTCTTCCATGGCTTGTTATTAAAGCTTTAAGGCACACTATATTTTGTCACTTTGTGTAATATGTACCTAATTTAAAAACATGTTAGGAGGTATAATTATTAATTTCATCGATATTGACAAAAAGTGGCATATAAACTTATGCTTTTCTACAAGAAAACTATATTATCATACACCATATTAGTGAAAGAAAAAACCATATTAACTCATTAAATTAATTTAGGCGTTAAGAAAATTATGTTTAATACATTGATATTCGAAAAATTCCCATCACTTGTATAGTTGTATTCAATAATAGGCAAAATATATATTATAATTGATTCTAAAATACAAATGGGAGTTGTGATATTTTGGATTAGTTGTTTTGTTTTTTATGGACAATATTACTGTGATTAGTGACTACAACATACAATATAATATCCGGATCCTACTATATTGAAATCACTGTTTGGAGGAATATATATCTCCCCATTTCTTAAATCAGTAAAGATTTTATTTATAATTTTTTGTTTATTATTTCATGATGTTTCAGAAAAAGTGGTAGTATTATGATCGTTGTTTATAATAAGAATTAAATACAAAGTTAAAAATTTATCAGGACCACCATAAATATATGACATATTTATTTTTTCCCTATATCATACTTGTTTTATAAACATAACTTAGTTTTAATGATTTTTTGTAAAACCATTAATCAAGTAAAATGTATCTGAAATCTGCATACTTTAATAAAACTTGAAAATCCAATATTTCATTATTGTTTTTTTTCAAAACCTAGCTGTTTTTCACGGCGAGTATTGTAATGTAAACAAATGGTAAGTTCGTATAGGTAGTACAAACTTTGAATATTATAAGAATCTTCGTATATTACAAAAACAATTTGTATGGTTTTAATATCTATTTTTTTATCAAAAACTAGGTGTTTTTCTTAACATGTTTGTTTTGCAGTTGTTTTTGTCTTTAAATGTTTGACCTACTTTATTTCTTGCACGGTAGAATCCTGGTGTTTTAATAATTGTAGCAGATGCCCTGATACGTCTAATTATTAATATTTTACGTGTTACACTTAAAAGGCATTTTTAAACAATACTTTTTCTAAAATTTAATAGGTACGACATTTTCCCACAATTCGTGTGGTTTTAAATTGCGCGGTTATTTAACAACATGAAAATATGTTAAGCAACCATCTATATTCCCGTAGCTTCAAATTATTATACTTCTTATATTTTGATTATTTAACATTTATTATAGATACTTATTTTTCTAATTTAGTCCTAATAATATTGAATGACTTATATCATTTAACGTTCAAGACCTTATTTTCTTTAGAATATTTCTTTTATGTACGTATATGAGTATATTATCATCAAAAGCTGTTTGAGACATTTTAGTGATTTTAGCCGAGAAGGTTTAAGCTATACAATTTAATTCTATGAAAAATTTACCCTTGCACAAAATTAAAATACTTATTTTATTTGAAATTATGTTTTTAGCAGGTAAAAATATACGGAGTCGCAATTGATGATGTGTTTTTATTTTGGAATATTAATATACTTTTATTAATAATAAAATACGTAAATTAAATATTCTAATTGTTTTAACAGAAAAGTAGTTATATTCATAAAATATTTTTAATAAAGCAAAAATAATGTGTATATATTAGGGTGGTCGTTAATTTATTTCGATTCTGAGGGGTGAATTATAGAAATAGTTTTGAAATGTTGAAAATAAATGTCCTAACTTTTTCAGATTTTTCACTTAAGAATAACAGGTGCCGCACAGGGCCTCAAGATTGTATTGAAATAACATTGTTTTTATTTATTTTCCAATAATTGTTTATTAAAACGGCTAATTAACTGAAAAAAAATGTTCAACTATGAAGAATTTTCGGGAATTGGTGCTGGTACAAATGAGAATATAAATAAAAGGCAATCCATTTAATTTCCAATTTATACAAAAACACCTTTTTGCATATTAAATATTAATAATGAATATGTCTAAATCCAGACTTCAAGTCTCAAGTTTAGGGCAGGAGGATAGGTGGAGTGTACTATTATTTTTATCTGCTCGCATTTCCCACTTGTTTTTGCTTTATTATACCAACAGGCATTTGTCATTTGTTTACATTATAACAGTCGTTGTGAAATAGTCAAATAGGTAAATAAAGTTACTGATTATACGCTAACAAGCTCCGTATGTGTAGCGAAATCTATTCAGAGGGAAAACAATATTAATATGTTTTAATATTTTGGCTATTTTAAAATAATAGTAAATACATGAATTGTTTAATTTTTAATTAAAAAAATCATAACTCTATTATATACATAATATAACTCTACGTTTGGTTGCAATACCAACTAAACAAATCATAACTCTTAAGGACAAATAACCTATATCTACTACAAGCTATAGAATCTCGATGTTACAATTATTATAGCAAATTACCTGAAATGACTAATTATTATTGTTTTACGTGTTACAATTTAAATACATTTTTAGATAAAATGTTTTTTTTTGCAAAAACGCTAACAATTCTTTTTCTAAAATGTAATACAATATTTTCCACAATTTGTATGGTTTAAAATTGCGTGGTTATTTTCAACATGAAAATATGTTGTTAGTTAAGTTAAATATTATAGATATTTTACTATAACAGAAGGCATTTGTCATTTGTTTACATTGCAACATTCGTTGTGAAATAGTCGACGTCACATTACGGTTTAAACACTAACAAGCTCTGTATATGTAGCGATATCTAATCAAAGAAGAAACTATATTAATATGTTTAAATATTATAGATATTTTGAAATAATTGTAAGAACATAAACTTCTTTTGAGTTTAAAAGGTAGTAATAGTAATTAAAAGTTACAGTTTATAGAATATAAAAACACATTGTATCCTAAAATAAATAATTTTTTGGATTATAGTGTAAAAGACTACAAAAGTGGTCAAATTACACATTTTTAGGGTCGCTGATTTTGAATTCGTTTTTGGTGTTTTTATCCAACCAAAAAAAACCAGTACAGTAGGGTCGGGGCATAGTGGGGACGGAGCATAGTTGGGTCGGAGCATAGTGGGGACGGGGAGGTCACAGGTTTACAGGAATTTTTAGATCTGAAAGTGATAAAATCACTTTCGAAAAAACGCTTCGATGCAAATCGGTAGTAAGTATTTTCAAGCCAGTACAGTCCAAACCAAGCACAGTATAAACCAGCAAAGTTAGAAAGTTTTAAATTAAGGTTCTGTATTTACAAATGAGCATCAAAGCGTTAATATGAAAGTGATTTTATCCGAGAGGACTAGTACAGTAGAGTATAGGCATAATGTAATCAAAGCAATGAGGAAACGGAGAGGTCACAGGTCTACAGGAATTATTTTAAATAAAAGTGATAAAATTGAATAAAATAAAAAAAATCGCTAAAAAATATTAAAATATAACGTTCTTGTAAACCATAAACCTGCACTTGTATTAGACATACAACGTTTAGTAATATTCATACTATATTATTACATATTTGCATGGTAATATGTAATGTATGTAAAGAAACTTTTGACACGAAAAATATAATATAAAACTTTGATCGTTTTTTTTTTGTAGTTCCTTTATTTGCAGTAACAAAAAAATTAC